TTGTTATATAGGTACATGTGCAGAATGTGGAGGTTTGTTATATAGGTATACATATGCCATGGTGGTTTGCTGCACCCATCAACCTATCATCTACATTAGGAATTTCTCCTAATGCTATCCGTCTCCCAGCTTCCCACCCCTTGACAGGCCCTGGGATATAATGTTACCCTCCCTGAGTTCATGTATTCTCATTGTTCAACTCCCACTTATGAGTGAGAACATGTGGTGTTTGGTTTTCTGTTCTTGTGTTAGTTTGCTGAGAATGATGGTTTCCAGCTTCATGCATGTCCCTGCAAAGGACACGAACTCATACTTTTTTTATGGCTGCGTAGTATTCCATGGCATGTATCTGTCGCATATTCTTTATGTAGTCTATCATTGATGGGCATCTGGCTTGGTTCCAAGTCTTTGCTATTGTGAACAGTGCTGCAATAAACATACATGTGCATGTGTCTTTATATAGTATGATTTATAATTCTTTGCTTATATACCCAGAAAAATGATATTTCTGGTTCCAGATCCTTGAGGAATTGCCACACTGTCTTCCACAATGGTTCAACTAGTTTACATTCTCACCAACACTGTAAAAATGTTTCTATTTCTTCACATCCTCTCCAGCATCTGTTGTCTCCTGATTTTTTTTAATAATCGCCATTTTAACTGGTGTAAGATGGTATCTCAATGTGATTTTCGTTTGCATTTCCCTAATGACCAGTGATGATGAGCTTTTTTTTCACATGTTTCTTGGCTGCATAAATGTCTTCTTTTGAGAAGTGTCTGTTCATATTGTTCACCCACTTTTTGATGGAGTTGTTTATTTTTTTTCTTGAAAGTTTAATTTTCTGTAGATTCTGGATATTTGTCCCTTGTCAGATGGATAGATTGCAAAATTTTTTCCAATTCTGTAGGTTGCTGGTTCACTCTAATGATAGTTTCTTTTGCTGTGCAGAAGCTCTTGAGTTTAATTAGATCCTATTTGTCAATTTTGGCTTTTGTTGCCATTGCTTTTGGCGTTTTAGTCATGAAGCCCTTGCCTATGTCCTGAATGGTATTGCCTAGGTTTTCTTCTAAGGTTTTTATGGTTTTAGGTCTTACATTTAAGTCTTGAATCTGTTTTGAGCTAATTTTTGTATAAGGTGTAAGGAAGGGGTTGGCTAGACAGTTTTCCCAACACCATTTATTATATAGGAATCCTTTCCCCATTGCTTGTTTTTGTCAAGTTTGTCAAAGATCAGATGGTTACAGATGTGTGGTATTATTTATTTCTGAGGCCTCTGTTCTGTTCCATTGGTCTATATCTTTGTTTTGTTACCAGTCCCATGCTGTTTTGGTTACTGTAGCCTTGTATTATAGTTTGAAGTCGGGTAACATGATGCCTTCAGCTTTGTTCTTTTTGTTTAGGATTGTCTTGGCTATGTGGGCTCTTTTTTGGTTCCATTTGAAATTTAAAGTAGTCTTTTTCAATTTTGTGAAGAAAGTCAGTGGTAGCTTTATGGGGATAGCATTGAATCTATAAATTACTTTGGGCAGTTTGGCAATTTTCATGATATTGATTCTTCTTATCCATGAGCATGGAATGTTTTTTCATACTTTAGTGTCCTCTCTTATTTCCTTGAGCAGTGGTTTGCAGTTCTACTTTTGAGAAGGAGTTTCACTCTTGTTGCCCAGGCTGCAGTGCAATGGCATGATCTCAGCTCAATGCAACCTATGCCTCCCAGGTTCAAGCAATACTCCTGTCTCAGCCTCCTGGGTAGCTGGGATCACAGGCATACGCCACCACATTCAGCCAATTTTGTATTTTTAATACAGACAAGTTTTCACCATGCTGGTCAGGCTGGTCTCAAACTCCTTACCTCAGTTATCTGCCTGCCTTGGCCTCCCAAAGTGGGATTACAGGTGTAAGCCACTACATCTGGTCTCCAATCCTTTTTTAAATATATGTAGAATGAAAATAGTAATATCTTCTAAGGATTATTTTGTGTATGCCGAATAAATAAAATAGGCACCATGCAAGGGAGTCAGTAAGTGCTCAGTGAATGTTAAGTAGTATGGTTACTATTACTGATACTACTACTGCTGCTACTACGATGATAATGATTGTATTAGCATTGTTGGCATCATTTAATTTTCTGAGATATTAAAATTTTCTGAGACATGAATTTAGAGAATCTGTTAAAAATGCTTAAAATGCATAAATATACAGCATTTTAGATACCATTTAATAGGTGTAATGGACTCCTTAAAGTGTGCTATAGACCATCGGTTTAGAACTCATTCTCAGAGGATAGTGGACATCTCTTCAAATGGACACCATACAGGTGGCAAGTATTGGAAAATAGCAACCAATCAGTATACAATTATATAAAGACAAAATACAAATTGGCAAATTAATAGCTCCGAGTATTAGTTTGTTTTCATACTGCTGTAAAGAACTGCCTGAGACTGGGTAATTTATAAAGGAAACATGTTTAATTGACTCACAGTTCCACATGGTTGGAGAGGGCTCAGGAAATTTACAATTATGGCAGAAGGCAAAGGGGAAGTAAGTCCCTTCTTCACATGGTGGCAGGAGAGAGAATTGCCAGTGAGTGAGGATGTGCCGTCCTTTTAAAACCATCAGAGTTTGTGAGAAGTCCCTCATTATCATGAGAACAGCATGGGGGAAACTGCCCCCATAATCCAGTCACTTCCCACCAGGTTCCTCCCTTCACACCGTGGGTTTATAATTCAACATGGGTTAGGGTGGGACACAAAGCCAAATCGTATCACAAGGGTTGGTATGGGACAAGATATTTCTCAGGATAACGTCCTCCAACCATTTGCAAATCATTTAATGTGCTTGTTAAATATCAGAATCCTGGCCACAGCTCAGGATGACTGAATCATAATTTCTTTGCGATATTATGAGTCTCCTTGAATACCCTAAAGTGTGAAGTCAAAGGTTTTAGAATAATATTTAATACAACTATCGTAGAAAGTGTATGATATTCTTAATTATTCAAACATAGTTGAATATCAAAAGCAAAGGATGAAATATATTTAACCAAAGTGTGGAAAGGGGAAAAGAAACGAAATTATGTTGGTGGGTTTTTATGAATAGTTGGCGAAATGAGTGATAATGTCTGTGATAGGATCAGATTATGCTAAACACCATAGGTCTTTCACATAGTAACTGTTTTCCTCTGGGCAAAAATTAGTTACTTTCTCTAATCTATTGTATCCTCATCTGTAAAATGAAGATAATAATAATAGCTATAATATAGGCCTGTTGTAAGGACTGAATGTGATAATGTACATAATACATACTTAAGTCCTCAGTAAATGTTAATTGATTACAGTTAATTATCATCATCATCATCATCATCATCATCATTATCACCATCATGATCATTGTAGTGGCGGTTGTCCGTACTGTCAGTATCATATTCCTAAGGTTTCTTTGCCTTTGTAATTCTCACCTATCCTTAAGGATCAAAATGAGGTTCTCTCTTTTGATTACATTTTTCTAGCCATCTATTTATGGAAATTAGTCGTCTTCTGTGCTTTTATATCCTTTAGCAAGTAGTACATAATAAAGATATTAATACCTACTTCTTGGTTAGCTGATAAACATTCATTTGCTTCCTTTTTATTTACACAGAGCATGTAAATTTTATATATGAGCATTTTAAGTTAAGTATTTTAACACAGGAGCTATTTTGAGTTACAGACTGACTGACGCTAGTCTGAAAATTCAAAATCTGAAGTGTTCTAACATCTGAAACTTTTTGAGAACCAACATGACTCTCAAAGGAAATGTTCATTGGAGCATTTTGGATTTTTTTTTTTTTTTTGAGACAGAGTCTCGCTTTGTCACCAGGCACCAGGCTGGAGTGCAGTGGTACAATCTCGGCTCACTGTAACCTCTACCTCCCAGGTTCAAGCAATTCTTCTGCCTCAGCCTCCCAAGTAGCTGGGACTACAGGTGCGCACCACCACGCCCAGCTAATTTTTGTATTTTTTAGTAGAGATGGGGTTTCACTATGTTGGCCAGGATGGTCTCAACCTCTTGACCTTGTGATCTGCCCACCTCGGCCTCCCAAAGTGCTGAGATTACAAGCGTGAGCCACTGCGCCTGGCCGCATTTTGGATTTTTGGTTTTCACAGTAGGGATGCTCCACTGGTGAGTATATAATATAAAATCCAAAATCCAACAAAATCCAAAATTCAAGACACTTCTGGTTCAAGGTATTTTGGATAAAGGATCTTCAACCTGTATTTTGTTTCTGTCTCCTCATTTCATCTGACCAAGATATTGGGAGAAAAAGTTTTCTCAGATAGTTTTATGTTTAAATGTCTCCACCTAGGCTTGGCATGGTGGTGCATACCTGTAATCCCAGCACTTTGGAAGGCTGAGGCAGGCGGGTCACCTGAGGTCAGGAGTTCAAGACCAGCCTGGCCAACATGGGAAAACCCCATCTCTATTAAAAATATAAAAATTAGCCAGGCTGGTGGAACGTGCCTGCAATTCCAGCTGCTAGGGAGGCTAAGGCAGGAGAATTGCTTAAATCTGGGAGGCAGAGGTTGCAGTGAGCTGAGATCACGCTGCTGCACTCCAGCCTGGATGACAGAGACTCTGTGTCCAAAAAAAAAAAAGTCTTCAAAACTTGACTTATAAGTTAAATTTGTTCCAAAAATAAAAATTTTACTCTGCTTTTTAAAGCCAAATATAATTTTTAAAGCTGTCTCTTGTTTTCTTAAAAAGGATTTGTGTATTTCCTTTTATTTCTTGAGTTTGACTAATCAAGAATTGAGTAAGTATAGTTATGAGAGTTCAGCCCATTTATTTTAAATTTGCATCTTTCACCTCCGAAACACTAAACTATGAAACCTAACACAAATACTGTAAGAACATCTGAGGTAGATAGTTAAAGTATAATTAAGTTTAAATGCCTTGGTGAAGGAGTATAAAAATTATTTAAATTCAATCGGCTAGTACATTTGCAGTTTTCTTTTATTAGGTGTGAAATCTAAGAATCCCCTGCCAACTCTTGAGGGCTCAATCCAGAATGTTGAATTGAAGTACTGCAGCACATCATTGGTCAAATGTGCCTCTGGGACCGTGGGATCAATAAAAATTTGTGCCAAAGCCCCAGGTATGTGCAGCTGGACCGTGTAAAACTTTATTGCCTGTATAGGAGAATTGGCCTTGCGTTTTACAAGGAGCGTTACTGAAACAAGAATTTACTCATTGTTCCTATGAATCAGACGTTTTAAATTTTTACTTAAAATTTTTTCTAATTGTGCCAGGATGATACTTCTTGATATTAACAAATTAATTTTTATTTAGGGAAAAATTCTTAGTTTTATGAATGGTTATGAGGGAGAAAAATTAGAGTAATGCTTATTACACTTTTTGGGGGGAATAGGAGGTATATATATGTCACTTGAGATGAAATTAAAAAGTTGTTATTATAATGTAATTAAATAGGAGACCCAATTGTTTTTAAATTTTGGTTGTAAATGACTTTACCTTCCTACCAATATTTTATTTCATAATATTTTTAAAAAACTATTTGTGATTTTTTCAGTGTAAACTAATCTTAAGATAAGTTTCTAAAGGTACAGATTTCATTTAATTTTTAGAAGATAGTGTATTTAGTTGTTTGCTTTTATAAACCTTTCTGGACATGTTCTGTATTCATTAGCAAATATGAAAACTTAAGAGTTAAAAATGCTTTACATTTCATCAGATTCAATATAATTAAATGTATAGCTAAAATTATCAGATAAAATTGAAATATTATTGTTAGTGTATTTTAAAATCAAACAGTCTGAAGCTACTCATGTTCTGCTTTTATTGTTGTTTTATAAATATTTCTTTTCAGTTGATAGTGGAAAAGAGAAGTTGATACCCTTGCTTCAGGGTCCTTCTGACACTAAAGACCTTCATAGCACCAAGTGGCTCAAGGAGAGTAGAAAGCCAGAGTCCCTCTTAGCTCCAGATTTGATGGCCTTCACAATCCAAGTTCCACAATACATTGACTACTGCCACAATTCCAGTAAGAGCAAACCTACTATTATTCCTTTATTTTGCATTTTTTTTTCTAGAAAAGCTTTTAAGATTGAGCTTTTTTTTAAAAGCAATTTTTGTCAATTGGCATACTCTCAGCAGCTGTGCTTTTTCAAAAGTCAAAGGAAAAATATTTGTATCACTTTTATTTATTGAAATGTGTTTATAAATAATAATGATTTTATTTATATGACAGAATTTAGTGTTATATATAGTGGTTAACTTCAGATTCATATGTATAAGGAACAACTGAGTTTTAAAATATAGTGTATCATTATAATGCATATTTTCTTGGGATAGTAGCACTTTGTAATCCATAGTTTGTCATGTGTAAATTATGTTTTTACCTTCTGTAATTTTTTAGGAATGAAAAGATTTGATGGTAGAACAGAAAAAAATCTCAGAGGTCATTACCTCATTTCTTAGAGTTTAATTTTTTTCTGGTAGCACTTTGAATAGAATCTGTTTCATTTTATTCAACAGCGTAATAGCAAAGCTATACCTCTCATATTGAGAGGAGGTATCAGAAGAATCAATGAAGACTGAGAAAAGTAAAAAGTGTGATAGGTGGAGATCAGTATCAGCCATGAATTCTCTTAGCCAGTATGTAGATTAGCGAAGTCAGGGTGTTCAGTCAATGAGACTATCAATATGATAGTAATACGGACATTTGTTTTAAAAGATAGGTGGTCCACATATTCTCTCTAGAAGTAATCGGCCAGTTAGTAGTTTCAAATAGCTGCTTAAGAGTAGAGATTCATTAACATTATCCAACAATTCTGTAGTTTATAGAAAGTATATTCAGCACTAGTATGTTCAAGTAGAAACTATGAAAAGGTTTGTAATTAACTGAGCAGAGACTGTGTAGAGGTGAATTTGAATAAATCAGTGCACAAATGAATGTGTACAGGGACACAAAACATTTGAAAGATGAGTATATTGCAGTAATATTTGCAGCTGAATGGCTTCCACATTGGAAACTGGAAATTCGTGTTTGAAAGGTGAGTCTGAGGATGCTCTCTTTTAGCATGCTTCTAAGGACAGCACACCTCAAAAAAGATTTCAGCCTGATAAGAATGGGTATGGAGCCGTAAAGAACGAATGATTGGAGATGACTCCAGGATCAAAACTAGGGTTGTCCCTGTGGAGAAAAGATTTTATGAATCTTATAAGGCAAAGATTGGTAAAAACTTTATTAAAAGGCCTGACAGCTAATGTTTTAGGGCTTATGGCCCATACAGTCTCTATCTCAACTATTTATTTCTGCTGCTATAGCGCAAAAATAGCTACAGACAAGACTTAAATGAATGGATGTGACTGTGTTTAGATAAAACTTTGTTTATAAAAGTAGGAAGTGGGCCAGATTTGACCTATGTGGTTTGTCTAACACTTTTATAGAAAGAAGGGATTGGTGGTTAAATATCATGGCTTTGTTAATGCCTTTTTAATTAGGTTTCTTAAATATGTTGTTTAGTAAACTTCTTCATAGAATTATCCATATAGTAATTTTTGTTTTCAAATAATAAACTTAAGATGATATTAAAATGATCAGACCCATTAGAGAAATGCAAATCAAAACCACAGGGAGATACCATCTCACCCCAGTTAAATTGGTGATCATTAAAAAAATCAGGAGACAACAGATGCTGGAGAGGATGTGGAGAAATAGGAACACTTTTACATTGTTGGTGGGAGTGTAAACTAGTTCAACCATTGTGGAAGACAGTGTGGCAATTCCTCAAGGATCTACAACCAGAAATGCCATTTGACCCAGCAATCCCATTACTGGGTATATACTCAAAGGATTAGACATCATTCTATTATAAAGACACATGCACATGTATGTTTATTGCAGCACTGTTCACAATAGCAAAGACTTGGAACCAACCCAAATGCCCATCAATGGTAGACTGGATAAAGAAAATATGATACATATATACCATGGAATACTGTGCAGCCATAAAAAAGGATGAGTTCATGTCCTTTGCAGGGATATGGATGAAGCTGGAAACCATCATTCTCAGCAAACTGACACAAGAACAGAAAACCAAACACTGCATGTTCTCACTCATAAGTGAATGTTGAACAATGAGAACACATGGACACGGGGAGAGGAACATCATACACTGGGACCTGTTGAAGGACGGGAGGCTAGGGGAGAGATAGCAGAGGGTGGGGGGAATAAGGGAGGGATAGCATTAGGAGAAATACCTAATGTAGATGACGGGGTGTTGGATGCAGCATACCACCATGGCACATGTACTTATATAACAAACCTGCATGTTCTGTACATCTACCCCAGAACTTAAAGTACGATAATAAAAAAAGAAATAAAATAAAATAAATAAAAATAAAATGACCAGAACATTCAGTTACAATTTTGATACCTAAGAAGAGATTAATTTTACTTGAATTTGCCACTTATTCTTGAGTTGGATAGGAACTTCTAATATTTGTTTTACCATATATGCAGTTAAAATAAATTAATAAGTCAAACTTATTGCGCATGTTCTCACTCATAGGCGGGTGTTGAACAATGAGAACACATGGACACAGGAAGGGGAGCACTACACACTGGGGTCAGTTGGGGGAAATAGGGGAGGGACGGTGGGGGGTGGGGAGCTGGGGAGAGATAGCAAGGGGAGAAATGCCAGATGTAGGTGATGGGGAGGAAGGCAGCAAATCACACTGCCACGTGTGTACATATGCAACAATTTTGCATGTTCTTCACATGTACCCCAAAGCCTAAAATGCAATAAAATAAATGGGGGGAAAAATAAATAATAATAATCTGTTAACAATATTTATATTGTCTTAATTTAAATGCATTTTGAGGGTTACAAAATTTTATTTGTGGTTTTAACTTTTTATATGGCTCTAAAAGTAAACTGGTATAAGAAAAATTATCTATGACACCTATAATATTTATAAAGATTTAATTTTTTCCTGCTGTTAAGGAAATTCACCTAATCTGCAACATTAGTGTTATGTGTAGCGGTAGGTTTATGGATTTGTGTGTAAAATTTTAGTGTGATCGTGTATTTAGTACTTTGAAAATACTCCTTTGGGTATGTTTTAAATCAAAAATGTAATATATTTTAACTAAAACTACATTCCCATAGTTTATTTAGGGCATTTTTAAATTTAAATTTTTCATTCACCTTATAACTGCCACCCATATTCATGGCTTAGGTATATATGATATGGTTTATAGAGCTCATAAGTACTATTTTATTGCCAGTTTTAAAATAATTTGGATTAATCTTAGGTTGTTGTAACAAGATTTAAATTGGATATCTATGTATATATGTGAGTATGACTGATGTTATAGACAAATCATAAATAAATCTTAAATGAAAAAATTAATAATTCATTAACAATCCTTCAAGACTTGACTGAAATATTACCCTTTCAGCAAGTACTTTCCTGACCACTGTATGTAAATTTCTCTATCTCCTACACACGTATTGACACTTCTTATTTCTCTGCACTTCTTTAGTTTTCCTTAGTACTTTTCAGAATCTACCATACTGTATATATTACTGATTTATATTGTTGATTGTGTCCCCTGCTATTAGAATTTTATGCTTCATTTGGGCAGGACGTTTTGTCTCTTTTTGGTCACTGTTGTATTTCAGTGTCCAGACCAATACCTGGCACATAAGTTAGCAGTAAATACTTATTGAATGAGCAAACACTGATGATTACATCTACTTTTCTTTGGTTTTTGAAGTTGAAACATCGAACGGAAAAGAGACAGGAGTCTTTCTGGAGGCTTAAGGGAATAAAAAGATGTTAGATGGTTAAATCTTTTAGGTGGACAGTTAAAGGGAAGCAGGAGTAGTCTCTGCTTGTGTTTTCACAAACAGGTGGGCCAGGCACCGTGGCTCGTGCCTGAAATATCTGCACTTTGGGAGGCCAAGGAGGGCGGATCACAAGGTCAGGAGATTAAGACTATCCTGGCCAACATGGTGAAACCCCATCTCTACTAAAAATACAAAAATTAGCTAGGCATGGTGACACATGCCTGTAATCCCAGCTACTTGGGAGGCTGAGGCAGAAGAATTGATTGAACCAGGGAGGCAGAGATTGCAGTAAGCTGAGATCACGCCACAATCCTCCAGCCTGGTGACAGAGTGATACTCTGTCTCAAAACAAACAAAAAACACACAAGCAGATACATGCCCAGGTGAGGTTGTTAATGAACTTTTCCCATGGGCTTGTAGAATTTGAATGATGATCATGCTAACTGGTTTTTAGGGTCACGGCATGATGTGTGGAAGACAGCTGTCATTGTGCATATACTTTAAAATTGATGGGTATGGGTGGTTAACCTGGGGACCAGTAAATGTTGTGGATGTTATGTAAAAGTCAATCAGGAAGTGAGTTTTGAGCGACACATACTTAGGCAGTCTTTTGACTGTGATTTGAGAATGTGAGGGAATGGACAGCTTTATTAATGGGAATTAGGAATTATGACTGAAAGAAATATTAATAGTATTAGTAAAACTCATTATAAAAACAGTCCTTTATGATTAAAAAGTCACATTTGTGTAAATTATTTTATAATTTGCTTACAAATCAAAACTGTTTTAGGAACAGAAAATAATATTTGTGACTTACAGAGGAGGAAATAGATGCCTAGAAGTTCAGTGACTCGCCCAAGTGCCTGGCAAGTCAGACTTTGAACTAGAACTTGGGACTTCTAACTATAACATTTTCCCACCATGCTGGGTTGTTTACCATTTTCTCTTTTAACCTTAGAATCCACCTTGCCAAACACTGCGTTTCCCAGTCTTAAAAGTTTCTAACTTAAAGGATCTCCTTTTTTACTTTATATTAAGCACTGTGAAAAGAACCACACTGTCATGATCTTACAGCATTGCTTTGTCTTTGAAGCCCAGCAATTCCTTTTATACTTTTCCATCTTCCCTGCTTGAGTGCATTCTGCACTTGACTATCTCTGATAAACAGCAAAGGAGCTGAAGGCTCTTATTTGAATACAATGTGTTAGCACACATTCTGTATTTATGGTTACAGAATGACACATTTAATGACACATTTCTTACGTTTATGTAGATATAACAAGTCAAATAGAGAAATAGATGCTTCGCTGGTTCCTTCATAGGTAGAAGCACTTGGTGACTATAACTGATATATGTAAAACATTAAAAAATATGTTCTTCCAGGTGCAGTGGTTCATCCCTGCAATCCCAGCACTTTGGGAAGGCCGAGGTGGAAGGATCACTTGAGCCTGGGAGGCAGAGGTTGCAGTGAGCCACAGTTGTGCACTGTACTGCAGCCTGGGTGACAAAACGCAACACTGTCTCAAAAATAAAAAAAAAATAAAAAATAAAAATGAGTTTTAAGTATTTTTCTTTCCTTATCTGTTTTTTTTTTTTTTTTTTTTTTTCTGAGACAGATCCTTGCTCTGTCACCAGGTTGGAGTGCAGCGGCACAATCTCAGCTTACTGCAACCTCCACTTTTCAGGTTAAAATGATTCTCATGCCTCAGCCTCTGGAGTTCCTGGGATTACAGAGGTGCACCACCACGCCTGGCTAATTTTTATATTTTTAGAAGAGACAGGGTTTCACCATGTTTGCCAGGCTGATATCGAACTCCTGGCCTCATGTAATCTACCTGCTTTGGCCTCCAAAAGTGCTGAGATTACTGGCCTGAGTCATTGTGCCCAGACTCCTTTGTCTTTTTAATATGGTCTTTGGCTCTTCTTATGCTATATTTTGCCTATGATTCATAGCAGGTTCTGGTTGCCAAAAAGTTCTGAGTCTTTGTTAATCATGGTATTAATGTGTAAATAAATGTTGGAGTGTCTGCTATTTAGGGATATAAAATGACCATGAATTACTATCAGCTTAGAATCAAAAGAATTTAGGCCATCATTTCAGTTTCTAAGCCAGTGTTAGGAGTTCTGTTTACATGTCTTTTGCTATTTACTTCAGCTCTGTTGGCCTTTTTTGACTTTCTCTGTGGTGGTTATATATTTACATATACTGTTTTTTCTATCTAGGATTCTCACAACCATCCTTACCGCTTTTAGTCCTGTTTATTTCCAGCTCAGTCTCAAGATCTCATCTCAACTACTACTCCAACGAAGACTTCTGTGACTCTACCTTTTCCTTACTTCCTCCCAACTCACTCAATTTAATTAAGTATCTTTGTTACATTCTTTCATAGCTGTTAAGGTAGTATATATTTATATAGCCTATTTTTACCACTTGACAATAAGTTCCATGAGGGCAGAATTAATCCCTGGTTGGTTATCATTTTATCTCCAGAGCCTATCATTGATTAATGCACAAAGAATGCATGCAAAATCATTTGTTGAATGAATGAATAAATAAACAAACATCTATGACAGATGCTCAAGGGTATAAATATATTTGACAGATAAATAAGTTCTTAATACATGTTAGCCTCCTTTTCTTTTCTCTATTTCATTTCTTCCTCGTCTTCCTTTTTCTTCTGCATGTATCTACCATTAGAGAAAATATCTACCAATATCTTCCTCTGTAAAACAGTTCTAATTACTATTAGAATCTTTGTTCACTGGACTATAACCTCCATTTTCTGGTATGATTTTATTATTATAGATGACACAAAATAATATATCAGCCTGACATATACCTGATAACACATATTATCTTACCTTTCTTAGCTTTTTTTCCCCCTTCATTTCATTTGGTATTCATCCTCTCCAGCATTTACTGCTGTAGTTGCTTATACCCTTTCTATTAAAACTTTAGTCTCTCTTGGCTACTAGATGTTAAAAGACAAGTCTATATAGCAGTGGTCCTCAACTGTTTTGGTACCAGGGACCTGTTTTGTGGAAGACAATTTTTCCATGGACTTGGCTAGTCGGGGATGGTTTCCGGATGAAACTCTTCCACTTCAGGTCATCCATCAAGCATTAGATTGTCATAAGGAATGCACAACGTAGATCCCTAGTATGCCCATTTTGTAATAGGCTTTCTGCCCCTGTGAGAATCTAATGGTGCTGCTGATCTGACAGGAGGCAGAGCTCAGGCAGTAATGCTTGCTTGTTTGCCTACTGCTCCTAACAGGACACAGACTGATATGGGTCCATCACCCAGGGGTTGGGGATCCCTGTTCATAGGTCTTTTGTGGTTTTGTACTTCCTGTGAATGGAGGCACTGACTGCCCTTTGTTCTGCACTGTCTATTCAAAGATGTTCTTATAGTAAACAGCCTTGAAAGACAAATATATCTCATTCTGGAGCAAAAAGAAAACATGCTTACTGTTATAAAACATTTGGTTCCTTAACTTAGGGTTCATCTCTTGTTAAGTAATTCACTGCATGTACAGGCAGCCATCTGAAAAAACCTGCACACTATCACCTCTATGAGGCTTGTAGGCAAAGGGAACTGATGCAGATATGTTGATACTGGTGTTTCTTCCTGTGCCATGAGTAATAAAGCCCTTATCTGTGACTTGGGATCCTTGCCTTCTACAGCATTCATGAAATTGTGGTAGTACATGATCTTAGGTCGCTCACAATTCTTGACATCAGAACAATGTAGTTTCTTGGTATTCCTTGCTTTGTTCCCCTCCTCAAAGATGTTTCTTTCCTTTGTGCCTTAAATATAGATTGTTTCCAAGATTATATTATTGACCTTCTCTTTCTATCTGAATGACCTAGTCACTGTATCTGTTTTCAGCAACCAAGCATAAGTTTATATCTTTCTGTTCATTTATTTTCTTTTGAGGTCTGGACTGCAAATTTCAGCTGCTACTTAAATCTTTTCTATGGATATTTTAATGGTGCCTAACACATTGAAAACTAAACTCAGTATAATTCTTTATTCCCTATTTCATACTTCATTATTCACTCTCTCAATTAATTACACTCTTTCCCTCTTAATACTGTCAATTTCAGCACTACCTCAGTTCTGCCTTTCTTCCCTGCACATGGTTGATGTTTCACAAAAGCTTCCCCCACCCCACCAATTAAATATGC